CGTGCATGTGTGTGTGTGTGTGTATGTGTATGTGTGTGTGTGTGTGTGTGTGTGTGTGTGTGTGTGTGTATGTGTGCGCGCATGTATGCTTGTGTGTGAGACGCAGCTTGCCCACAAAGGCATTCTCCCCCAAAACACAGCCCTCCCACAAGAATTCTCTTGTCTGAAACAATCTGTTTCCCCACATGTTTGAGAAACCTTCCTCGTCATCCCTGCAACAGTGAGCTGAGCGGCAACCGCATCACGGGACCTCTACCACAAGGCTTTGGAAGTATCTCCAACCTGGTAGCTTTGTGAGTCCTTCTCGACTCGTTCCCTCACACAACACATTTCTTTGCTCCTCGTGTCTAGTGCATCCATGATCCATCTCCCTCCCCTCACACGCGGCCCTATTCTCTATGGCCTCACTGCTATACACTTGCTCCCCCTCCCTCCCACTTCCCTCCTTCCACCTCCTCCCCCCATCTCCACCCCAACCCCCCCCCCCTCTTTTTTCCCCCTCCCTCTCCCCCACCCTCAAGGGCCCACAAACAGTCCTCTCTGCTTTACTTTTCTTCTTCTTCTCTCATCTTCTTTCTTGCTGTTCCTGGTAATAGCTTGGAAGTCCATATCTGTAATACCAGTCCTCTTGCTCCATCTCACTGCGCTTTCCTTCTTTCAACCTGCAGCCAGCTGTGCCATGTACCATGCTGTTGCCCCCTCACATCACATCACCCCAGCCGTGCTTACGACAACCTCATATCAGGACCCCTGCCCACCGCTCTAACAACCTTGACCAGATGAGCATGCATCTACCATGCTAGCCTTCTGGTGTCCTGGAATGGGTCTACACTTGTATTTGGACTGTGTATTGTACGCTAAACTGTTGAGTGTACATGGTCACTGGCTGGCTGGGGTGCCAGTCCAACCTGGGTATGTCGAATCTACAAGCACAGAAAAATCTGCTCTGTCAGTTTATATGCAATTGCCACGAATAGCGGCAACAGAAGCCCCAAGAAGTCTGTCGCCACTCACTTGTGTGGATGGTCACTCTGCAATCACATCTGTGACCACTTCGCGTGGAGCCTTCCAACCAATTCTGGTGTCTCTAGCCAATCAGGGTTCTGCTTCTCTGTCAAGCTTACCTTGCTCTCACCTTGCTCTTCATGCTCTCTGGCCTTTTTAAGCAAATGAACCTCCCACACCACATCTCCCTCTCACTGCTCCATTGTCACTCATTCAACCATCATTCTTCCTCAATCCGCACCCATTTGTTTTCCTCATATGACCACTCCACCCCTCCAACCCTCACTGGTCCTTACGAGGCAGTGAGTTGCAGAACAACAAGCTGAGTGGGCCCGTTCCTGCTGAGCTGGCCGCTGTCACTTCATTACGTCTCATGTGAGCCATGGGCTCGATGATTGCATGGAGCATGGGCATGTGTAGTTGGGTTGGTGATGCCATAAAGGGTTTGGGGTTTGGTTCATGGGGTTCTTGTGCTACTACTTTATGCATGGGACATGGTGCATGGGACACGGTGAATGGGCATAAGGGCATGTCAGTCAATAGCTTCTTCCCTCTTTCAAAGCGTGTTCAAGTAGCATGGTTTTTTGTAGCACACAAAGCGGAGTAGCAAAGAGCATGACCGCGAGTCATTCCTTCCACCGTGACATGTTAAGCCAATGTGTGTGTGTACCACTCATCATTCATTTCTCAGCCTTCCTTGAACATCACTCCTCACTCATATCGCCTGTTAGTCCGAGTCAGTGTGCATGTGTTGCCTGTGCGTTGCCCAAATTGGCCAAGGGGTGTGAAATCTGATTAGGGGCACTTCTATTTTCTTGCTACGACATCCTGCACTGGAATGCACATTGCTTACTCATATCTCCTTTCCCTTATACCCATAATCTCAACCGTCGTTTCCCTCCCCACGCCCAACATCCCCTCCTAGCCGTTTGCAGAACAACACGCTCAGTGGCCCCCTTCCAGACCAGTGGACAACTACCAATCTTGGGACGCTGTTCATCATTTTTTCTTCTTCTTCTTTCTTTTATGTTCTTTACTTTTTTTTTTCTTTCCTTTCCCTTCCTTTCCTTTCCTTTCCTTTCTTTCTCTCTTTCTCATTTTCTTTCTTTCTTTCTTTCTTTCTTTCTTTCTTTCTTTCTTTCTTTCTTCCCTCCCTCCCTCCCTCCCTCCCTCCCTCCCTCCCTCCCTCCCTCCCTCCCTCCCTCCCTCCCTCCCTCCCTCCCTCCTTCCTTTCTTTCTTTCTTTCTTTCTTTCCTTCCTTTCTTCCTTCCTTCCTTTCTTTCTCCTTGCCTCTTCCTCCTTCACTCTTTCTCTCAAAGAGACCCGTGGGAGGCACACAAGCATGCCCCCTACGCCTCTACGACCAGGGCAGAGAAAACTACCTTTTCTGTGCGTCTATTGTGCTCCCTCGTGTTCGCCTCTGGGCCTCCCGCCCTGAATGCTTTGCGTTAGGCATGAAAACTTTAAACGTCTTTGGTCTGAACACATCCCAAACATGCTTAGTGGGCGAACCGAGACGAGCTTGTTCGACTTGCCAGAACAAATTTTCTTAGATTGGTGTTTGCCTTTGTAGGCAAACACAGACATGTCCGTGTTTGTCTTCTGACAGTACGGGCCTCGATCCGAAATGAATCATCCCATTTCTGTGCTCATACCTCTCCACCACACGCCATGCATCTCGTCCCTCCCGGCATCACGCCAGCTGGCTCAATAAACTTGTCGACTTTTTAAACTTAATGGCTTGCCAGCTTTTGACAATGCGGTGCAAAACCAAGCTCACAGATCCTACTCTCTCGCTTGCCACCCGAGGCGAGCCGATCAGGTCTATTTTGTTTGGCCAATTCTGTTTTGGGTCAATCATATTCGTGTTCGGTTTCCGCGGGTGGCTGAGCCACGCCGAGCAAGAGCATGCTCGTGTTTAACTTCTTGGTGAGCGAGGAACACCAATTTGTTCTCCGCAAAACTCCTGCGACCCTAATATGTAGGTCGTTGGGAAAGTCATATCGAGCCCGATCTTCCTCGTTTTTAATTCCCATTACCTAGACTACCAGCTGGCAGGCACCCAGTTTTCGTAGGAGACCCAAGTTGTTTAAACTACTCATTCAGGTTGAGGACGGTGCAACCCAGGGCGAATCAGGCCCTCAGGCATATTAGCGTGTTAGGAACTCTTAGTTAGGTTGAACCTAAACTGGTCCAACGCTCACAAACCTTTGTCAAGTAACGCTACTTCGCCCATGATAGCTGGCCCGCAATGGCCTAAGCGATAGTAGGGTTATCAATGTTTCAAATGCTGTTACAAACGATAGCAAATTACCCAGAGAAGGCAAACCCGAACATGTTTGCTGCTGCAAGCATGTTTGTGTTGGCAGAAAATATGGAAAGGTTCAACTCTATAGCCGAACACCCGAACACCAACGCTGACCAAATGTGTTTGTGTCGAACTGAACATATTCGATTCGCCAACATGACATGTTCGAGGGACCCGAACCGAAAACGTTCGTGTTCAGGTTTTGCTCAAGCCTTTTTGGAAGCACCTCGGACCTCATGCCTCTATCCCCCATGTTGCTGTGCTGCGCCATCCCGCAGGGACATCAGTTATAACCAGCTGACTGGCACGATCCCTTCAGCTATTGGGAGCCTCCCCAATTTGGACAGCTTGTAAGTGAAGTCACTCAAGTGTTGGATCCCCTGTGCAATGCAATGCAATGTCATAAAAATCTGTCATGCCATTCATGCCTCACTGGGATGGCCTTTTTTCAGTCCTTGTTTTACTCCTTGTTTATTTCACAATAGTGTGGCACTGGGTTGAGTGTACCCTCTAATAGGGTTGAGCATTGGTTCAATAGTTTAATTTTCAATAGCATTGGGTCAAAAACCTAACAATAGCATTGTGTCCCAAACCTAACGAATCCTCAAACACAAATGTGACACACAAGGAAACACACGCTCTCACTTCAGATGCTACGTTACTGCCGTACCTCTACGTCTAATCCGTGCGCACTAAATTCAAGTCATGACACTCCAGCCAGCTTAAGTATTGAGAAACAAGACAAACAATTGAACATTGTAACGTTCAGCCGAACGAACTGAAGAGGTTTGCCTGAAACATTGAGGCGACCCGAACGAATCTATGCTCGTGTCAAACTGAACTGGGGCTTGGAAATTTGCTTGTGCCTAGTAACGCCATTGAGTAAGTCTACTGAGGAATAGTTTATGAGCTTGTGCTGGAGCAAAGGATTCTCCCCTACATGAGGGGATGAGCCTGGATCATCACGAGCCTCCCCACACCTTCACAAGCCACCATTGGGTAGCAGAGCAGACTAGCTCAGCTCGTTGCAGCTGGAATGGGCTCAATGGCTCGGGAGAGGAGTGGACTAATCCGGCCTCGACCACTGAATCATCTCGTTTCCGTGCCCGACAATACCGTGCAGAAACAACTCACAGATTTTACTTTCTAGCCAGCGCACTTCATGGGGACATCATAGGCTCTCCTTCAACTCTGATACTTTGTTGCTGTATTTCAAATGTTTTGGAACATCTCGAACCCCATGAGTCATTCCCCATGTTGCTGTGTGCTGTGCCATCCCTCAGGGACCTCAGTGATAACCAGTTGACTGGCACGATTCCCTCAACGATTGGGAACCTCTTTGAGCTGGGCTCACTGTGAGTGACATCGCCCAAGTTCCGGCTCCCCTGTGCAGTGCAATGCAGTGCAATGCAATGCAATGCGTGCCATGAATATCTGCCACACCACATGCCTGCAATGAAAAAAATAACTCACTGGAATGCCCTCAGCTGCAGATGCCCTGTGTGCTGAGTTCCTCATGCACCTCTTGTATCTCGCTCAACTTACCTTCTCCCCTTAACTTGTTTCCCACTCTTCGCTCCTTACCCACTTTTGGTCGACAAGCTATTTTATTGTCTGTCTCTATGTGGCATTTTTTTTTTTTTTCCCAGTGACCTGAGTAACAACAGGTTGTCAGGCACTATACCGGATGATATCACAGGCTTGGTCTACCTCACACTTCTGTAAGGCTTACACTGCTGTGAGGCTCACACTGCTGTGAGGCTCACACATCACACCTAGCATACCCACTCAAGTAGCCCCTTCCCCTGTCCATGATCTGCGGCCCAGTAAGTGTCAACGGGAGTTGGGTGTTGGCCCCGTCCTCGCTTGGGCGGAGCCGACTTCGTGGTCGGGTGTAGGGTGCAGCCGACCTGCAGCAGTGGGCGAGTTGGTCGACGAGGTTGGTCGACCTGCACGGGAGCCATTGCATGGGCGCCGACTTCGGGAGGGCGCCAACTTCGGGTGGTCGACCCGGGACGTCGACCAGCCCTTCTGGTCGACTTGGAGTGACGTCGACTTGGAGCTGGTCGACCAGGGGATAGTGGTCGACCTGGGGAGGTCGACTGGAGGTGGCCGTCGACTTGGGAGGTCGACCGGCACGTACCAGAGGCAGTGGTCGACCTTGGGAGGTCGACCGAAAGTGGTCGTCGACTTGGGAGGTCGACGGGCACGCACGGGAATGGCTGGTCGACCTGGTTGCCTGGTCGACCAGGTTACCTGGGTGACGAGGTGCTGCGAAGGCTTGCGAAGGTCGCCCAGGTGGTTTTGGCGAGGACGACCTCGGTGATGGTATCCCGAGGTCGACATGGTGCATCAGATGCAATCGTCAGCACGAGGTGGACTTGGTGTGTGCGCTGTGCAGGTGACGAAGCAGTGCACGCCAATCATCTACGAGCACCTGCGAAGCGGGTGCGATGCTGGACTGCAGGAGCAACGCTGGCACGCCGTCGACTTGCGCTGTTGTCTCGCCGTCGACCTGCAGCGTTGGCAAGCCGCGGTCGACCAAGTCGTGCTGGCACGCGGTCGACCGTGCTGCGCTGGCAGTCGACCTGCTTGCATCCTAGCTCTGATGTAGTCTTTCCTAGCCAACTTCATTGTATCATTGTTGTCAACTTTCTCTAGTGAAACTCTTGCCAAATTGCCTTGTGAACTAGCAAGCAGTGTGTGCACTAGGAAAACGACTAAGGAACAGAGAACGCAGAGATCACACGAGCACACGTGCCTAGCCCGTAGTCTAGCTCCCGTTACTAGAGTTATCTCCGAAGTAAGCTCTTGCACGGGTGCATGCTCTGTTGCCGTTGCCATCAGTCGATACAATTGAAGTCTTGCATACCTGCTCTGCTGCTAAGATATTTGCCTCAGCTCAGCACACTGTTGCTGGGTTGCCATGTGTGTGTAGACCCTGCTCCCAGCCCTACCCCCCTCTGGACCCAAGGAAGCTTACCCACAGCAACCATGCCCAGCACATCTGATTGCCAATGCCAGCTCCCTAGTCCCACTGCATCTTGTTTGCTTCCTTGTGTAGCACTCTTGCTTCCTTTTATTGAATCTGTCTGTGAATCTCCACCTCCTTTCGTTTTGGCACCATGAAGGGACCTGAGCTCCAACCGTCTTACTGGCACCATACCCCAAGGGCTTTCTACTCAAACCAATCTCGAAGTTCTGTAAGTTCCCCTTCACACCAGTAGGTCAGTTCTCCAACAATGTACTGACACTCTTAACTTATTTCTTTGATCGTTGCACTCCCAGGCTTCAACCATGCGGATAAGAGTGTTTGCTCTTTCGTACTCGCTTTCCTCTGTGTATTCGGTCTGTTTCCTAGGTTACGATCGTGGTGTTTCGCATTGTAAAATCGCATTATATAGTGCATTTCCACCTCCAAAAAAAAAAATAAAAAAATCTCTGTCCGTTTCCCATCCTCCCATTTTTACACACAGCAATCTGAGAAACAATCTGCTCACAGGGAAGGTCCTCGAGCCCGTGCCACCAGCAATTAAGACGTACAAGCTAGACAACAACTACTTGAGTCAGGGGTTCTCCTCCCCCCCGCCGTGCGGGCAAGGCTACATCACGTACCACACAAACTGTGCGGCCACGCCAGCAGAGGGCCTTGCATGTGCTGACAGCCCTCAGAAGACCGACCCTGTGTGCACTGCCTTCTGTGGTGTCAACGGCACCGCCACCCCCCCTGTGGACGCCTGCAACGGCCATGGCGTATGCTTCTTGGACGGCCCCAGGAACACGCCCACATGCCTCTGTGACGATAACTTCGTGGTTGGGGAGTTCCCTGGCAGCTGTGTGCCTGTGGCAGGTGAGTCACTCACAGTCGCAGCTTCCCTCATGCATGCAGCATCCAATTGCGTGTGTTATTTATAATTTACTCACACCACATTCTCGGTTTTTTTTTTTTTTTTTTTTTTTTTTTTTTTCAATTCCCTTTCTGGTGGCTCCTGAATGGCCCCTTTAAGAGCACACGTTCTAAACTGGCCTCTCCAACTGTCTCTGTGCCCCAAATCCCACATTCAGGTGGTACGACGGAGCAGCAGCAGACCCCCACAGCAGCCACGCTCACAGCCACTGGTGACGCCTCAGTGGATGCTGCAACAGCCACGCTCACTCTCACGCCCGCCCAGCCGTCCAAGGCTGGCAGTGTGTTCCTGGCAGCGCGCGTGCCGCTCTTCTCCTACCAGCTCATTGGGGACTCCTGCGGCCGCGAGCTCGCCTTCTCCTCCAACTTCTCTTTCACTCTCACCCGCTCTGCTGCCTCTGGCTCCGAAGGCTTTGCCTTTGTGGTGGCCTTTGATGCCACCCCGCCCACAACATCGGTGGTGGGCGGCATGGGGTATGCGGGGATGGGAGCGCGCAGCGTGGCAGTGGAGTTTGACACGTCGATGGATGCGGGCAACAGCGACCCTGACAGGAACCACTTGGGCATTAACACCGGCGGCAATGTCACGTCGGTGGTCACAGCCAAGCCCAGCACCTCTCTCAATGACGGCAAGCCCAAGCACGTGTGGATCGAGTACGACCCTTCCTCCAGTGGCTCTCTACGTGTTTTCCTCTCCTCCCAGGCGTCCCCTCGCCCCACCACACCCCTTCTGTCGGCACGCATCTCCCTGTGTGAGGAGCTCGCCCCCTCCCCATCAGAGTACACCTTTGCCATCGGCTTCACTGCTGCCTCCGCCATTCAGCCTCAAAGCCATGTCGTCTCCGCCTGGACCGTCTCCACCTGTGAGTAAACCCCTGCGTCCTTCCTTGTCTCTCACTTGTTGTTGTCGGCTTATGCCTTCACGAAGTTTGATGACCAGTGCCTTGGTCTGCAGCCTTAGCACAATGAACAAGATACAAGATACAGTTTTAATTTAATTTTTGTGCCTTGGAAATTTCCTTTTCTTTCTTTTCTTCTGTGTGCAGACTTTCCCATCCAACCACCTGCAGGTGCGATATTCTACCACTCTTGTTTTGCTCCTTTCTAGTTTGTCTCGCATTAGAAGTACATCTGTGAACCAGTTCCGGTGAAGGTGCTGAGCATCTTTTACAACAATCCTCATCGTGTCTACCTCGTACCCTTTCAGTTGCAGCGCGGGGATTTACCTTCAGCGAGGCGGCGCTCTCTCCGTCGGGGATGAATCTTTTCTTCCGCTACGCCAGCTCGGGCAGTGTCGCTGCTGAGGGTGGCCGGGACGTGTACGGCGTGCGCCCAGCAACTTCATGGGCTAGGCCTGACTTCACATGGCCTGTCAGGACTCAAACCGCATGCGGTGAGTAAGCTTGAACTGACACACGACGTTGACACTCTTTCTGTTGACCGCTATTGAGATCTAGAAACTCTTAAGCACACATTTAATACACTTTAAGTAGTCTCCACGGGGTCACCTCCAACGGTCCTTGGATGCATGACAAGTCCAGCCGCTATTCTAAGGTCCGTATCTGTAGAGGGAGTTGTTCAAGTATGAAAACAGTCGTGTGCACTAAGTGCATTCCCAAGCTCAACTGCGCAGTGCATGTGCATAATTGTTCCTCGCATCCATTCACAATTACTGATTACAGTCAAACACAAATGCACACTTATATTTCGCATAATACACGATCAAAAGAAAAAATAAGCAAACGGTTGATTAACTGCATTTTTATGACTTCGCCATGCAATACGGGAAAACGATTGCGAAATTTCTGCTGCATTTAGCTTGATCCAAATCTTTGAAAATAGTTGCTTTCAATTTCCATGCCTGCCAAGTGCCCCTGCTAACTCTTCTCGCGAACGATCATGAATTCACGTGTAGAATCATGAACGCTCATGTGGGAATTCCGTTTTCGCAGAATGTACAGCCATAAAACGGGTTTTCACCGTTTTGCACCTGTAACAAAACTGTTGTCTTTAAAGGCGCAGATTCTGGCAAATTGTGTGTGTGTCACGTCACAAAAGACGAGGCTCGAGATTCAGTTATAACTACAATCTCAAGTCAAACCCGTGCGCCCCGTGGGATCCTGTGGCACCCCCGAAACACACGCGCACCCCTCAGTTGTGCAATCATGCATGGCCAGATATTTTAATCGTGCAGTACAGCGCGCGAACGTGCGCTGTCCCATGCAATCATGGGCCTTGCCACGCGCCCAACAGTGCCAAATCACGCACGCGACCCTTGTGGGGCCACCTGCGAGATTCGGGCCACATGCGCTAGATTATCGTGCCCATTCTTACCTTGACCAGTGCGAATCTTAGCAGCTCAAACACTGCTGTCTCCTCATGAACACACTTGAAAAAATTTTACAGAATACACAGGCAATTATGAACGAACATGATCGTACATAACGCCATGAAAGTCAATGAACACTCATGAACGTACACAAACAGCACGCGAACGCAGCAAAACGCGAACGTCCATGAACACACACGAACATTCAGAACTTCATAAAACACCACGACCACTCATGGAAACTCGTGCCATGCACTCACGAAACACACGCGAACAGTCACGAACGCTAATGAATGCAATATTGCAAAAACACACATAATGTATGAACCGCTCAAGCGATGCATAAACCATAAACGCATAAATGAAAAACACACAAAAGTGCATCTCACATACCACAAATTGCCATAAAACAAAATATCTTCAAACTTCACCTTGATCGACGAATAGGTGATAGGTTGATGTGCAAAAAATGTTTTGCACCCAACACATTCAGGATGTATATACATACATGTGATTTCTTTATGCAACCGTTCCTTGCCTGGCAGGCGACTGCTGGGCGTACGCAGTGGTGGGCAGCGTGGAGGCGGCGCTGGGCATTATCGCCAACACCTCAGCGGCGCCGGTGCTGTCAGTGGAGCAGCTGAAGGCCGCCATGAAGGTCGGCTGCTCTGGCAGCACGCCCTCTCAGGCCTTCCAGCTGCTGCTCAAGCTGGCGCAAAAAGGAGGCGGGCTCATGCCGGAGAGTCAGTGGGCGGCCGAGAAAGGCAAGAAGCTTGCGAAGGCAGGCAGTACCAGTATCAGTCCTCTCTGCGCGCCGCTTATGAAGCCACTGGCGAAGCTGTTTGGTGTGGCATGCACCAAGGCCAATGGCAGCGTACGTGTGACTAAGAGGCTGACAGTGAAGATGAGGGCTTTGAGTGGCTCACTCGCAGCAAAGATGGATCGACTTAATGCATGCTGTTATGACGTTCACACAGTTTCAAAGATGATTCCTGTGCTGCTTCGCTTCGAGCTCAAGCTCTTGTTCCTTAGATGCTGAGTGCTCATATGCCCCCATGCTGTTCCAAGCTACAGCTATGTGTGCTGCGATCCTCATTCTAACCCTGTCATTCTGATCCGCAGCAGCTGCCCGGAGGGTTCCCTATCAAGGGCTTTGAGTCGACGTCCTTCTACGGCTGGTTTGGGCTGCTGCTGGCCGTGCAGCGGCAGCCAGTGGTGGTGCACATTGAGGCTTCCGCTAACACGTTCAAGAACTACGATGGGGTGAGGCGAGCAGTGCAGTTGTGATGGAACGATTGAGAGGCCATGTGTATGAACAGGGGGATGCATGCGACTGTGTAGGTAGGAGGGTGTGTCGGTGAATGGAAGTGCATGTTTGTGGCGTGTGTTGCACTTTTAGAGAGGAGTTTCTTCCTGACGCCTTCAACTCCCTATACACAGCAACATTCAAAAGCATCTGGACCATCACTCACTACCCATTCATTCCTTTCCCCCAGCTGTACAAGTACCAAGACCCCGATTGCTTCACATTCAACCTGAACCACGTAGTTCTGCTGGTGGGGTACCGCCTGGTGGGCAAGGACTCTCGATTCCCGAACATGGCGCCGCCCTTCTGGATCATCCGCAACTCATGGGGGCCTGACTGGGGCGATAGGGGCCACATGCGCATGGACATCCAGGGGGGGGATGGCGTGTGCGGCATCAACTCGCTGCCAGGCCTCTACCCTGTTATTAGAGGTGAGTAAGTGCATGGTCCGAGGTGAGTTCATGGTCAACGGTTCTGCATGGTCAACGGTTCTGCATGGTCAACGGTTCTGCATGGTCAACTGTTCTGCATTGTCAACGGTTCTGCATGGTCAATGGTTCTGCATGGTGCGTGCATGATGGTTTTCCTTGTACACACCTGGACCATTTTCTGTTTCAAGTCGCACCACTACTATCTATTTCAAATCATACCACATTTCTTTATGATATTTTGACTCATACCACGATTTTCTTTTTGACTCATACCGTTTGGGTTTCGAATCACCCACCTTTTCTGGTTTCAAGTCATTGCACCATTTCCGGTCTCAAAACTAACCACCATTTCTGTTATCCAATCATACCTACGCCTCTGCAGTGCTTGCTCATGTGAACTCACCCTCCTTGCTTCTCTGCCCCCTGCCCCCTCTCTCTAACCTGCAGGCACTGACCCCTGCAGCAAAACCGCCCGCAATGATAGCAATGGCTCGTTTTTCAATCCCTGCGGCAAGTTCAAGTGCATTCCAAAGGGAAACACAAACGAGTGTGAATGCAACGACCCACGCTTCATCCAAGCAACCAACGCTGATGGCTCTCGCACATGCACATACAGTAAGCCTCTGCTGCCGCTGCTGCTGCTGCTGCTGTTGCTGCTGGAATGGCTGCTTGCCTCCTCTCATTTCTGTCACTGTCACTGTGTTCTCTCTTTCCTTCCCTTCCCTCACTTTCACTCTCCTCCCTCCCCTCCCGACTGTTTTCCTCCCACCTGGTTGCACTCGGCTTCAGAGGATGCATGCAAGGCAGCCAAGCGCAACCCGTGTGCGGTGGGAACATGTGTGAACGACGGGGCGGGGTCATACTCTTGTGTGTGTCCACCAGGCTTCAGACAGGGCACTACCGTCGATGGCACCTTCTCCTGTGCTCCAGGTACCTCCTTGTAGACTTCCACTACCAAAGCAGCCGGATAGAGCTTAGAAGCACGATCTTAGTGCATAAAAAACGTTCACAGAATGATCAACTATAGGCAGTGGTACACATACGAACGTGAGTGGTGGTGTCTTAAAGCTCAAGGCCAAAATTGCGGAGTGCGCGGGGCAAGATTACTAGTCTTGCCCAACTGAAGTTTTGGGTGGTGTATGTTGGCGAATTTCTGGTTACAGTAGGTAAGAAGGAGAATGATTTGTCGAGACCTGACTTTGTGCATAAATGTTGAGAAAAGCATTCTGCATTTTGGGACTTTCTGTCCCAAACAGACAGCGAAAGAGCATTGATTGCGAGAGGGAGAGTGAAAGCAGACAACCCCACCCTTCCAACACCTGTGCGACTTTTCGTTCACCTCCCAAACCACTCAGCCCTCAGCCTTGCGAAAGCTTATTAGTCTTGCGTGATTTGGGCCTCGAGCTTTAGATGTTTCTGGTTTGTGCTCTTTGGATTGAATATGCTACAATAATATGCTTCGGATTCATAACAAATGATAACGGAGCTGTCAACCTGAATTGTGTGCGACTCATAACGCCTTGCGTGCTTAAACTTTGCCGATCCGATGCCTCACTGCCGAGTGTTCAATCCAAATGCATACTTTGACCAGTTTTGTTGAAACTGTCCAGAAATACTTATACTTTAACACATGGATCGAAAGGTTGCAGTCTTGAGTTTTTATTCCACCCAGACTCGAAATGCACCCCATTGCTCATGACAACAGTTTGTTTCAACACTCCAGTGCTCCTGGTACCTTGCCTTTTGCACTAGGTTCCTTCTCTGTGAACAGATGTGAAACCAAGAAACGCAAACAGCCTTACCCAACATGTGTTGAAGGATCAGAAGAATGAGGGGCAAACAGGAAGAAACCCCAAGAAGATCCACCCGAATATGAATAAATAGATGATTTTTCTCGTGTGCTGCATGTCTGTGTGGCATGCATGTGTTGCTTGCTATGCTGCATGCAGGTGACACCAACACCACCTACACCGTGCTCTCTCCCAACGTCCGCTGCTCCGATGTCTTCCCAATCTACGGCCTCACGCTTGCCCAGTTCCAAACCCAGAACGTGCGTCTCCTACAAGCTTGAACATTCTCCATACCAACCTAATCATTTTATTTAGTATCAAAGCATGTGTCTCTTGTACCCACACATCTTCCCGATCGTCACCACCCACCTATCTTCCTTATCACTCTACTCCCTCACCAGATGCGCGTTCTAATCACACAGTTGCGTTTCACCATACCACTCTCTCACAAGCTCCTTCCCCCCATAACTGCCTGGGTTTGTGCCGTGTCCCTTCATGCCTCTCCCTCGGTGTGTGCAGCCATCGGTGTTGTGTGCGGAACCCATCCCACCCAACACTGTGCTCAAAGTGGCCAGCCCAGCCTCTCTCATCCCCTGCTCCGTCTACTACACCACTCAGCAGGTCCTCGCCTCGCACCCTTCCTGCCTATACACCATCTTTTCCATTTCCTCAATTTCCTCTTCTTCCTCTTGCTGCCTCTACTTATGCCTAATGTGGCACCGCCAATGCCCTTCGTCCCATTTCGACAATCCATCCTATTGCAACAACCTCAGATTCGTCATTCGTTTCGCATCTCTACCTTTGCTTAAGAGGGCACTCACACTCTCTCGCTCTCCGGATCTCCCCGTGTATCTCTCCCTCCTCTGTCTCACTTCAATCATTCACCTTGCTTCCCGTTACTGAGTGGAGCCCTCGCACCCTCTCGCTCCCTGCTTCCCTTGCCTCCCACCTCCCGCTCCTCCCTGCCCATCTCCTCCCTGCCCATCTCATTCTCAGGGAGACACCTGCACGGCGCTAGCTGAGTACTTCCAAGTGCACTGGTCCTGCCCATCTGCCACCTGCAACTCAGTCTTCCAGGCGCTCAACCCCAGCTTGGACTGCACTGCCAACGGCGGGCTGCTGCAGCCGGAGCAGGCGGTGTGTGTGGAGCGCAATAGGAAGAAAGTGGGGCTCATCCCGGTGTGCTCACAGTACTACCTGGTGCAGAGCGCAGAGACGTGCGAGTCCATCCGCAATGTGCCCTACCCCCCTCTGAGCCCCGTTGACTTCTTCCGCCTCAACCCCGGCATCAAGTGCAGCCGCCTCCTTCCAAATACCGACGTTGGCAGCTTCACTGGCTTTGAGGTGCGTGTGTGTGTTTGTGACACCGGCTCTGCGCATGCCATTTGCCCTTCTGTGTGAATCAACCTTCCTCCCCGTCTAAGTCGCTGCTTGGGGTCTCTTATCTTCTTCACTCCCCCCACACCCCCCCACCCCTCCCCCAGGCATGCATTGCGAGCTCCACATCGTTCACGCAGGGCACGTGCCCGCGTGCGAATGCGTATGTGGTGGGGACAGGCGACAGGTGCACGGCCATTCAGGTGAAGTACTTCCGGGGCATCAAGGGCTGCTACAAGCACATCAACGGATACGACTGCATCGACAAGCTCATCAAAGCAACCCGCGTGTGCTTGCCCGACAAAGTCAAGCTTCAGCAAGGCGTCTGCGACAACTGACCCCCTGCAGCCTGCCTCGCAACTCTCGTGCTAGTCAGGTTTAGTTGGTTTCCCATACTCTGAATTGGCAGATGTTTCCAGTCCGTTATGATTATGCCCGTATTGTGTCGCTGTACTCTGACTTGAGCTTGTCACAATCTTAGCCACCGGACCATTGGGATAAGAGGGTTGCAGGCTCACAGCCGCCATCCTCACAGCCTGTTCCCCATAGCAGTAGCTGTTGTAGGAGCGTGGCAGGGCGACGGCTTGGGGGCGACGGGGCCGCGGCCAGGGCACGACGGGAGGGTGCGATGGTGCCGCGGCTAGGGCGCGACCATGAACTCTGATTATTAATATCGGTGTAGTTTTATTAAGAACCTTGACAGCATGATGAGTGTAGGCTGTGTAAAGATTACCACTTCTAATCATCAAAGCAACTGTTGATTCTCATTTTCTCACCATGCCTACAATGTAGGTTATGTTCTTACTTTTATTTTATTCCACTTCCAGTTTTTACTTTCGTTACCGTAGCATTGTTGGAAACAATTAGTTCTAATCTAAGCGCCTCTTTCGTGTCGAAACACTAAAGCACAATCGAAGCGAGGCATATCGAAGCATCAGTGAGCCAACCCTCGGAGGTTGAGAGGTTGCTGGAGGTTACGCGAAAGTCAAAGGTCAGCGATCTTTGACCCGACAAGTACAGCGCGACAGCAAGGACACACAACTGACTCGTTACAGAGCAGTTGCCCGAGTCGTCACTGTATCGAACCGCAACAGCAACAGTAAAGTAGTTATAACTGTATCTCTCCATATCCCTTGTACTCTTATATAATCTTGTATCTCCTTGTTTTAATTAATCTACTTTGCCCTCACATACTAGCGCAAGGTGGTTCAACTTCTTCATTAGCGCTTCCGCTATTACATTGCTCCTACCCAGAGTTTGCCCTTGCAAAGATCCTAAGGGCTAATTCTCAGCCCAACATGGTATGAGAGCTCACAAGGGGAACTCAACTACTATCAAGACATCACAAGACATGGCAACACAAAAGGAAAGGAGCTCCTCTAA